GTTTATGCTGTTACTCTGTTGCACTGTTTGGCAATGTATGCCTTAAATTTAAAAGTGTAAAAGCTTTTTACTGTTACACTGTTCAAATTAACATTAGAAAAAATACTGAATTCGCTTCAGTCTTTGAGATGGGGGAGTAGAGAAATGTGGCTTTTATTTGTTAACATTGTTACTAATACCTGTTTGTGTTTAATATAATACTCTGAGTTTGTGATTGGTCACACCTCTTATTTAATTGTTTGTTTATTTATTTATTTTTTGGAATGTAGTTTGATTTACTCAGGCGTTGTGATTGGTCATACTTCTGACATTTGAGGTTTAGTTTAGTGTTTTGAGTAAATCAGGACAATGATGTTCCCTTGACCATTATTCTATGTTGTACTCTCATGTTAATACATCTGAACTGCAATAAAACACAAAAACAATTTTATTCTTGTTAATTAATATGTCTAATTTGATATTTTAGTTAAATGAACTTAAACAAAGAAATCATGATAAATCGAAATGGTATTACCTTGGACTTAAGATACTAAGTGGAATTATTGGGCAGTGTAATTGGTTTAACAAAAAGAAAATTACTAAATCAACTTGCCATTTAGGCATTACAGCTTGAAGTTAAGTTGAATTAACTCAAGTTTTCGTAAGACATTACTTAACTTTTTTAAGGCAACCGGTTTCCTCAAATTGTTTAAGTAAATTCAACTTATCTGGGCTTACAGTGCAGGTAGTTTGTTTACAGTTTGAACATCTGTAGATAATCTATTGGGGGCTTTTCAAATAAACTGGAACCTGCTAAGTTAAGTTGTACGCTTTATTTAAATAGCCCACTGTAGATGTTTTGTAGATGCTTGCTTTGCACTTACATTCAACTAAATTGTTTAAAATTACTAACTCTAAACCTAACTGACACTAATTCACTAACTAAACCTGGTCTTAATCCTAACTCTAACTTTATAAACTCAAAACCTTAACCAAACTCTGATCTTGGTCTTAAACCTAACCATGGTCCAACCCTCAGACACTGTTGAGAAGTTTCAGGTAGTTTGTTAACTGTTTGAACATCTGTAGATAATCTATTGGGGCTGTTCACATAAAGTGGAACAGGTTTAGTGTATTTGTGCATTTATTTGTCATGAGGTGAGGAAAGTTAAGGTTAATTTTAATTTGCTTTCTATTTCTGGGTTGTATTTTTTGTAAAAGGAGATCTGGATATTTGTAAAGTGTATTTTGTAGATATTTCCATTTGCAGTGTCTCATCACTCTTTCTGTGTTTTTGCAGGTCTTCCACTGGATCTGTAGTCTCCTTGCTGCTCTTCATAAGAGTGCTGTTAATGCTTATACTATTTATTTAGCTGTAAAAATAGATTTTAGACTCTAAAATGGTGAGAAAGCTGTAGACAACCAAGAATTATTTTAAAAATGAGCCCTTAAAATCTGTGACGCAGTAATCAAATCTTGAGATCCGGTATCGACCAGAGGAGGATGGGTTCCCCTTTTGAGTCTTGGTTCCTCTCAAGGTTTGTTCCTCTTGCTCTGAGGGACTTTTTCTTGCTCATCTGGCGCTCAGACATGGATTTTCTGTGAAGTTGCTTTGTGACAGCACCTGGAATAAATAAATCTTGAATTCAATTAAATTGAAGATTTAAACAAATTCATTCAGGTTGATTTAATGTGAAATGTTCAGTAAAACAGAACAGTGATTAAATTTACAGACTCACTAGATACACGATCCAAAGTTCCTTCTACAGAAATTTCTAAAGCTTCATAAAAATAAACAAATAAGTGAAAACATCAACAAAACAAATGTGATTAGAAGAATCTTGGACGCCTAAAAATACAGTAATTAGTCGACTAGTCCAGGAAACAGGCTGAGCTGGAATACAGAAAATGCTGTAAAAATGTACAGGGTGTCCCAAAAAAATTGACATTATTTGCGATGTGAATATCTGAGTGACATGACCTGGCAAATGAAGTTAAATAAGCTTCATGTTGAACAATACAAGATTTATTTATCAAAATTTGAACAAGAAATTCAGAGGGATGTAGATTTTATAACCGATTTCACAAAGTATGTGCACCGCCTGTGACACGACACGTCAAGTCAGTAGTCCAGCTCCTGCCAAACACGCTGCATGTCTTGCGTGACCGTCTCCAGTTGGTGCATTTTTATTGTATATTTTATTGTATGTATTATTTCTCGAAAATGCACGCTGCATACTCTTGTTTGACTGTGTTTGAGCATATTCTAACACACAACATGCCTTTTCATTTCTAGTGAAATTAAACTTGGTTCGTTTTTACACATTTTGTTAAAATTTGAGATCATTTGAGGGAGAATTGGCTACGTAATTAGACTACAAAATTATGTCAGTTTTTTTGGGACACAAAGCTGTATTTTTATCCCTGTTCACATGTTTATTTACTTCTTAAAAGAGTGTTTCTGGTGTTCATAAGCTTATTAATTATAAAAATGATTTGTTTTCAATAATGGTCATTTGTACACTTAGAGCTGTTTGTCTTTTTTACACAAATTATTATTGTACACAGTTTGTTTACTTGTGTTGTTTATTAGTGGTGTTGTTCTTCACAGTGTGGACTAAAGAGTAAAGAGGGAGATAAACAACTGAACAGCTAATGTAGTTTATCTGTATAGAAATGAAACAGAACATGATAAAGTAACAACATGTCAAATCACTTTAACAGCACAATATTCTCTCATAGTCACTGCACTAAAACTGATGCAGTGAGATCAGCTTTAGCTAATAATGCTAATAAAGCTAACCAGTCCGTGTGGACGGTCATCAAAGTGCCCGTCCGCAGGTCTCACTGTTAACTGCAGTGCTGCTCCATCACACAGACGAATGCAGGTAGAAAGAGAAGGATAAAGAGAGAAATCTGTGCTGAGAGGGTCTGTTAGTGCTTTTTAGACATACAGACAGATTGATTTACCCATCATACTGTTTTATTAGCAGATAGTCATTAGATATTAGTTTAATTAGCAGATAATTAGCTAAATTCCAGTCTCTAAGTTAGCTCTGTCAGTCATCTAACATTCTTTAACAGATATTTTTCTTTATTTTGGTCAATTATGTCTATAATTATTAGGGGTTGGAATAACCAGAAGCCCCTGATTATGATACTGTCATGACATTTATAAGCTAATAAGGAATAAAAATAGAGGAGAAAGAAAAGAGAAAGTTAAAAATCTCTCAACAAGTAACAATATAACTGAACTCTGAGAGCTCAGTGTGTTCAGTGAGATTTTGTGAGCTTCAGCACACTCACTGCTGCCCTCCAGTGACTAAATGATGTTATTAAATTTAATTAAAGGCTAAATTTCCTTCAGGATCAATTAAGTATCTATCTATCTATCTATCTATCTATTACACCTACAATCATTTTAATTACAGCTTAAGACAAAACTCTGTATTAATAAATCATAATTAAACACAAGTGTAATGATCTGTTTTTGGAATAATCTAATGTTTCTGAAACCAACATTCTGTTCTTGAAACATTAATTTTAAATATATTTTCACCTCTGAATATTGTTTAATCACTCCACCTATAAAGTCCCTTAAAGGAGCGTCTGCTGATTTGTTGGGGATCAATGTTAAAGTCAGTGAGTCTCAACTCTGGATCATTATGAGTGTTGATTTATTGGTTATTGATCAGAGCTGTTCACTGAGCTTAAGGATGATGAAATTATCTCAGACTCCAACAGAGTCGCCTTCCTGGAGCTGCTGAACTCCATAACTGACCATAACTGGTCATTTTATTCTTTTGTTCTTTATTTATTTATACATTCTGAAAAATGTGACTTTTTGGAAATGTGAGCTATTTTAATGCAGCACAAACAGTAATAATGAACTAAACAGCTAAACAGAGGATCATCCAGGATCTTCTGAGACAGTGAAACTCATCTCTGCAGGTGTTGGTCAGATGTCAGTCATGGTCTCCAGCAGGTCCAGAATCTCTTCAGAGCAGAAAAGATCCTCTTCAGATGAAACTATGGCATCATAGTGGAGTCAGTTCAAGGTCGATTATGTGGAGGTTCTACTGTGGCCTCTTTATCAGAGGTGGAGTGACCTTCATCAGAAAAGCCCCTCTTCATCTTCCTCTTCCTCTTCTCTCGCTTCTGCAGCTGCTATAGCAGAAACATTTCAACGCGGCTGTTACAACTTCATTTAACTCTAGTTTTAGAACGCTGGACGTCTTATGTACGTTCATGACGTCAGTGAGTGCGAACCGCTTCACTCCTCAATAAGGTAATCGGCTCAGCAACCAGTCATCACTTACTACCAGTAACGCCAACCAATCAGTACTCACTACCAGTAACGTCAACCAATCAGCACTCAGTAGCACTCAGTAACGCTAGCCCTACTGCCCAAAACCTGTTCGCAGCAAAAAAACAAAAATATATGGATGAGTTTTATTTACATTTTTTTTTATTGATACATTCTTCTACTTTGCAACATTAAAGGAATAAATGTTTTCTACATTTAGGACATCAAGTCTGAAAACAGAAAGTGAAAAACAAACCTGAGCCTGACAGAATTATTGTCCAGAGTTTATGGGGAACCTGTATAAACTAGATTTTCTGTAGGTCTGAAATGGTCATTGAAGGTGTATTAACATTATTTGGTCACTGGATGGCAGCAGCGAGATGATGTCAGGTTTTGAGAAGGACTGATAATGTCTTAAGAGAAACTGCAGCTCTGAGGAGAGTGGACATTTATTCTCATGCAGTTATTTATCTCTCTCAGTGTTCAGTACACTGCTGTGAACACACACTGCTGCCCCCCAGTGAGCAAATGAAGACAAATCATCTGTACTGATTCTAAAGTGTGCTAGTTTATATTCTGGTTGATTATTGTTTAAATTAATTTTACATAACATATAAATCATTATTGTAGGTTCAGCTTATCTATTCATGTTTTATGCCACTTGCTAGAATGACCGTCTCAGTATACACACACATGGGAAAATATACTTCAGAAATAAAAGAAATCAGTTGATAAATATTACTGTAAGACAGTATCTGGTTTATTATGACATTCATAAAACTGTTTAATCACAAAACTCCTCTCATTCTTCATTTCTGGAGCTCTTCTCTTCTCTCTGTGAGGATGAACAGCCTGAAAAAATTACATCACAGAATCTATCATACACAAACTCAAGTGTACGTGTCACTGGGACAAAAATGAAAACTTACACAAGTAAACACACTTACTTACAAGACTTACTTGTAGAGTGTCATAATCTGAGGTCATGGTGGCGGGATTCAGAGCTGCGTATGTGTGGTCTGCAGGATCTGGAGTCTTTTAGAGAGATGAGGAGAACAACTTAAGTCTTTATTCAGTAGCAGCTTTATAGGAGTATGTAGACAGAGAAAGAGTGAAATCCTCTCTCAGTACCTGAATATCTGTGTCTCTCTCTGCTCTTCTCTTCCTCCTGATCACACAAATTACATTTAAAACATGGTTGTTAATCCTTATTTTGATTTATACAAAATGAGGACATCCAGGGTAGGCTTGGGCAATGTAATCAGATACTGACAATGATGGATAAGTAACCTGATGGCAGTGTGTAAAAGGTGATAATTGTCGTTTTGGGAAAAGAACTGAGAGAGAATTTATTGTTAACAGCTCAGCTTGTAAATATGTTGGGAAATTGGGGTCCACTTTTAAGACGTGTGTCGGCAATAGTTTTTTTTGTTTATGAGAGAGAGAGAGAGAGAGAGAAGTTTCTTAACGAGCGGCCTGTTAGCTCTCTGGTATGCGCTAATGCTAGCTTTATCGCACGGCTCTTCCCTTCTACTTGCTTTGGAACTTCGGCTTGTGTGACTCGCTGCAGTAAAAAAAAGCTAAAGAAACCAAAGAGATATAATTGATAATCACATTTTTTAAACAGAAAGTATTGTGCATCTTTTTAAGTATTTTTAAATATTATTTTTTTTTAGATATCGCCCAGGCTTAATCCAGCATAAGAGCTTCCATTTGAATGTAAATTTGATGATGTTTTAATATGATGTTTAATAAAAGGTTCAGATATTCAGAGTAAAATCTAAAGAATACAGTCACTCACTTAATGCACAGAATGGCAGTAAGAAGAAAGAGAGCCAGAACAGGAACGACTCCAACAGCTCCCCAAACAGCATGCAGCTTCCACAACTCAGCTGAGCCTTTAAAACACCACACACACACACACACACACACACACACACACACAGTGCAGCACTTAACAATGACTGAAATGTTAAGTGGGTGTGGAGCTGCGCTGTCCAAGCTGGTTATGAGCAGTTAATTAAAAATGCCCAGCAATTTACCCTGTAATTTGAAAATCACCCTATATGATAAAGTACTACAGATAACTGTGTAGATTGGTGCACAGAAAGCTGCCTACTTACACAATGGAGGAGAGATGAGGCTCACATGACCTTCAACGGCACAGCTGTAGCTGACTGTACCACTGACCACAGCCACAGAGCAGAAGGCAGACTTGCAGTGAATCACAGGTTGTCCGTTCTTGTACCAGATGTAAGTGAGGTTGTTAGGCAGAGTGCAGGTGCTGCTACAGTTCAGTTTCTTTCCTCCACTGTCTGTGTCTGACACTGAAACCTTCAGATCTGCAGGAGATTTCAAACATGTTTGCTGTTAATTTCATCAATAGAATATTCTTGCAGTTAATGAAACCTGTTTTACTTTAAGCAGCTCTACCTGTGACAGACAGAGTGACTCCAGGTTGTCCAGTGTATTCACCTCCATCAGTGTAGAATCTGAATCTGTATGTTTGAGCATCACTCTCTCTCAGGTGAGTGATTCTCATACTACAGTCATTCTGGAAGCTCTGTCTGTACTGCACTCGTCCCTGATAATCCTCATCCTCTCTCACATCCACAGGCTCAGCACCAGCCTGCTCTTTAATGAACCACACTGATTTGGTCACTGTGTGTCCTCCAGGGTTATAAGAGCAGGAGAGATCAACTGATGATCCTTTCAGAGCACACACACGTTCAGGAGTGTAAGTCACACCCCAACACTCTTTACCCAAAACACCTGAAACACACACACACACACACACACACACATAAACACATACACACACACACACACACACTTACAGTCAGCAAAAAATTAAAGATAAAGCAGATAAATGCAGGGTACAGGTAGATTCTTTTCATCAAATCCTATGCAAATTTTTAAAGGAAACTATATTCAGAAGTACAGGTTTTTGTTTTCCTATTAGTTTGTTTTAGTTTTAGTTGTATTTAATAGGACGTTGCTCAAGGTAGTCCCACAGATTTTTTATTTTAATCTGGGGATTTTGCGGGCCAGTCCAGATACATGAATGCTCCAGAATGTTCATCATGCCAATCAGTCACATTTGCAGCCCTGTGAACATGAGAATTGTCATCTTGGAATACAGGGATAGGAATGTTATCTTCTTTGGTAAGATGATAAGCAAAACCTGGTTGTCCAGCAGCTCAATGTAGGCACTGTATTTAAATTTACTGTGACTTCAACCAAAGGACCCATTTCCAGGTAATTAAAACACCTCCAGAACATCACAGAACTCCTCCAGCCAGAACCACACCTTGGAGGCTTCCTGAGTTCTACAATAAGCATGATGCCTGGCATCATTTACATTCAGGCAGAAACGAAACTCATCTGACCAGGTAACACATTTCCATTCATGAACAATCCAATTTTTGTGTCTCTTCATCCACTGTAACCAGGCAACTTTGTGAGCAAAAGTGAACAAAGGCCTTTTGCGTGCCACTCTGCTCCAGATGTTCATGGTATGCTGTTCTGTGTGGAGTGTTCTTTCAGAAGTTGGTTGTGAAGAACTTGCTATGACTTCTAGAAGCAATTCTTGCACCTACAATACACCTGCAAAATCAGCTACTTCCTTCACACTATGGCCTTTGGTACACCCAAATGCAACCACTCCTTTTTGACAATCAGTAACATCTGCTTTGCGACCCATGAATCCCGTCGCACACCCCACAGGTATTTATCAGCCGAATATCCCAGTGCATCCGCCATCTGCAGGAACCTGAAGTTACTGCCACCTTAAACATACAAGGTGACAAATTTTTTTCTGTAGCAGGTTTCAACTTTGCACTTGTTACATTAGTAACTATAAAACATCAACTACTGATAGTGCGAGTGGACATTTGCAGACACAGTAGCTAAAGGCACACCAGCATATGGAGTCTGAGTGATCTGAGGTTTAGTGACTGACACTTACACACTGAAGGAGAGCGGTGCCGTTTACCGCTGCTGTCTTCTACCTGACAGGAGTAGCTGCCCTCATCAGATGACCTGGTGGAGTCCAGCACAATAAATGTATCATCTGTATATGCCTTGTATACTTCATTTCTGTACCAGTCATAGTGAGGATTTGCACCAAGGCTGCAGGTGGAGCTACAGATCACTTTCACCTTTCTCTGTCCTGCAGTCTTATGATCCACCTTCACCTGCAACTCTACACACACATCACATCATATACATGAATTCAGTAAATCACATTTTATATGACAGCACAGAGACTGTGTGAGAGAGCATGCTTGATTACCTGTAACAGTCAGATTAACTCCAGATGAAGCTGATATCCAGTCACTGCTTGATGGTCTAAATCTGAAGTTATAAACTCCAGAGTCTCTCAGTCTCACATCCCTCACTGTCAGATCACAGTCGTTCTGCTCTGTTCTTACAGAAACTCGTGCTGAGAATTGAGGATCTTTACTCAGGACTCGTTCTTCTCCATCAGAGCTCTGGAGCTGATACCACTCTGTCTCTCTGACTCTGGAGGAATCAGCTGTTGTATATTTACAGGAGATTTTTACTGAAGATCCAGTAAGAGCACAGAGACTCTGAGAGGAGAGAGTTACACTGTGTTGAGCCTGAACTCCTGAAACACACACACACGCACACACACACACACAAACACACACACCCCAGAAGCATAAGTAAGTTGAGAGAGAGAAACTCTTGTGCTCTACCTGACAGAGTGACCACAGTGTGAACTACTGCTGCTGTTGCCATGAGCAACGCAAAGACGTGTGAAGTTGGCTGGTGGTGTGAAAAACGCAGACAAAGTGGCCTCCGGTTGTTTTTTGGCAACAAAAGGATTTGATGTAGTATGAAAACACTGTTCAAGTTTCAAAACGTAACATTTGCTTAGATGCAAAAATATTTATAATGTTTTTGTCACTATTCAGCCAACAACAGTTTAACCCCCCGCCCTATTTACACTGCAGTTATAAGGAGTGTTTTAGCCCAGACTGCTTTTTAAATCATGAACAATACAGGCCAATCAGAACAGAGGTCATTTACATAAGCAGTTTTAAAAGCACAGTAGCAAAAACATCCTGTTTAATACTAAGAGAAAGAAAGCTTAGATCATGGTCATTTAAAAATTAACTACCATTGTTTAGGTACATAAAATCACACAAACACCATAAATGGACCCCAGGGGAGGAAATAAAATACAAGTAAATGTAACATATGTGTCCTTTAAAACAGTGAAGAATTGTTCAGTTTAAAATACATGGACTCTGATAATGAGTATCTCTACTTTATATATCGTCGCTGTCCAAAGAAAACCATGTATCTTCATTGTTCTACATCATGTCGACACACAAGCTGTCCTTTACATTGTGCTAAAATTTCATGATAAAAGGACCGATAGGAAAGGTCTAAAATCACTTGGAATAAAATCTCTCTACATTAACTTATTCAAAGGTATGAGTGTTTTTGCCTTTTCCTGTAAAGTTACTATTTAAGAGATACTTGTTTTTCTTTGGACAGCGACAAACCGTTAAAGAAACCAACCTCAACCTCAGATTTACACAGTTTAGAAAGCTGATAGAGCAGATCTCTAAACACATAAAATGGTGCAATTATTACCTGCTACTGTAACTGTTGTACATTTTATTCTAACACTTATTTGCAATTAGTCTCATCCAGATGTGTTCAGTTCTGGAAGCTTCCTGGTTAAAACACACCTTAAACCAGGCAGTTAACAGTAAACTGTAGAGCTGAACCAGGTGTGCTTGAGCAGGAAAAACCTCTAGAAAATTCAATATCGCTGATTTAACTGGTGCCTGATTTATTAGGAGTTTATAAAATGTACTAACACCATTGCGATGGGTGGGATGTGTCCTACCTAATTTCGGAAACAGCTGCATTTGTCCCACATAAAAATTATATTGTGGGGAAGAAAAATAAATTCTGAAAGTGCGACACTGAGGGCAGCACGTTTTGGAGGAAATCACACAACCCTCCTATTTCAAGCTATGTTTTGTGTTGGTTGGCGCTGGACGTTCTTTTAGCCTTTGTTAAGGTTTGTGTTCAAAAACAGCTTTTGTTTAAAATAACATGCTATGTTTGAATATCCACCAATCACCAGCTTCACTGACTTTCGCCTCGTCGGAGCGTCGGGCTGATAGTGAGGTTAGCTTTCACCAGCTTTGAGCTTGAGGTCAGAAATGATGGCACAACAAAAAGCAACGACGGCTAACTGTAGCTATGAAAACAGCTTGTTACAAGGTGGGTTTGGGTAGCTAACAATGTCAGAACACATTGTGAAACGCCACGTAACCTTAGTTTCTGGCCGCGTCCCAAACTGCATACTGCTTGTTTAGGACGCAGCCTCACTTGCAGCCTCACTTGCAGCCTCACTTACATGCACTTAATAATTCAATAACTGCAGAAATTCAGATTTTATCAGTAATCTGATGAAGGCATTTACATGTTACTTGAGTAATCAGATAATGGGAAAACTCCTGGTCTACATGAGTTAGGCAGTAATCGGATTTCTGCTTTGCAACCAGCCAATAAACTCAGAAAAGGCCATGGCATAGACGCATTCGTTATGCTGCTTTTAAAACATTGAGTGACTTTACCTCAAAATATGAACATACATGTAAAAGATAAAGAATATTTAAATCCTTCATTTTGTCAAGCATGTAGATGACTTCAGCTTCGCTCCAAAAGTGTTTTGCTGCCATCTCACGGGTGCTGTGTCAAACGCTGCTTACTTATTTCTGGTAAGAAAGTGCCGAGAAATCTGATACCTGAGCTAATATCCAGCTCTCTGTATCAGATTTCTTAATCAGATTTCAAGAACCTACTTCAACCTAAGAAATTGGACTATGCTGTTTACATGACCATTTAAATAATTATATAACTGCAGAAATCTCATTATGATCAGAACGTGAAATGCATGAAGTGCTTTCTCAGTGCTTACCTTAATGTAAATTGTTTTGTCAGTTCATTTCAGTATAATGCCACCAAAAAAGGTCAATAAAACCATCATAGGACACAGTACCGAGTTTTTTTTTTTAAAAAGTAGCCTTAAGCTCTATTCAGATGGGATTAATTGGTCATGGTTAGGTGGGGTAATGCCAGTTTACCTCAGGACATCTGTAATGTTTAAAATGTTTAATTTATTAATTTATTTATTTCCTTTACCATAGCCATTTACCTTTCTGTCTTAAGTGAATGCAGTGTGTCATTAGCCTAACTATAGCTTGGAAATTCACAGCAAACAGTCAACTTCACTGCATAAAATCAAACTGTAATTTTTACATGTTCTGAGTTGTACATGTGAGACACCACAGTAATATTACATATTGGCCTGATTTCAGCCTCAGAGAACAATGAGGCTTCCTATTCGCCATCTTCTTCCATTCCACCTTAAATAGTGCAGCAGTTCCATTCTGGTGCTTATAACTGCCACACCATTTAAGGTAGAACAGGAAAATTCAATCAATCTGGTGAATAAGAAGCTGAATTCAGCTTAATCAGAGAACACTTCTTAGAGTGTCTCCATACTGCTCAATGCTATTTTCTCATATCAATAAACCGAAATTATATTATATGCTTAGTGTCTCATGAGCCTCTTGAGTCCCTTCAGAATTGTTTTCTAGCAGCTATTCAGCTCTCTGACTTCAGTGGCAGATTCATAATAGCAAATAATGTGTCCCCCTCAAAGTCAAACTCACCTCTACGCCCTTGACTAAAACTAAAAAGACTCTCATTAAAACTGCAGGAAATGCTGAAGGGCTTTTCTAACTTGTACACTTTCCAGTTTACACAGATGCATATAAATATGTAAAAGTTTACCTGTCAGTAATATGAGGATCACTGCTGCTGTGATGTTTCCTGATGTTCTGGAAAACATGACAGCTTCACCCTTCAAACACTGCTGATTCTTGAAGGTCTAGAAAATAACAAATAACATCATTTGACTGATGAAGTATCAAAGAATTTAATCTGATCAGGTCACTCGTATAGGTGGTGAGTGAACTGATCACTCTGCTCACTCATACTTGCCCTACACTTTATTACGATTGAGCAAGCAGAGAAAAGGAAAGAGCATTCGTGAATTTTGCACTCTTTCATCTCTCCTCCCCCCTTTAGCTACAGCCACTTCCTTCCTGGGTCTTTATTCACGACCACAAGAAGGGGGCTGTCCTGTCCACCCATAGAGAGTGATGCCAAATATACTGTCTCACCACAGCTGGCTGTAGCATCACTGATCTTCCTTTTATCTTCTTTCTAACAGTTTAACTAGTTTATCTTAGAGTTAGAAGTTTAAGATGCCCTGGGTCAGGCTTGACCTCTCCTGCGTGCTGCATGATCTTTTACACCATTATCATATTATATTATATTATATTATATTATACAGTGTGTTTGTATTTCGGGTCTCTGTCCATCAAGTTAAAGGCCTTGAGCTCTGGTCAGTCGGGTATGAGGTTGGTCAAACTGACTGGTAATGGACTTCTAGTGTTTTACTTCCCTAAGAGTCTGAGCTGGAAATTTAAGGTAATCTTTGCTCATAATGGTTTCCCAGAGCCTTTAGTCATAAACATCACCCCACAGTTTTCTCCCTCAGTGTGAAGCTGTGATTAAGGGTAAAGACTCTGTGTGCAACCAGTGGGATCAGGATCTTCACTGCTCTCACTGTGCACTCTGCTCCTATGGGTTTATGTCTGCTACTGATGGCCTTGATGTAACTATGACCTTATGGGCCAAAAATGTAATAGGCTCCACATTCACAGGTTACCTTTAATTAATCAAAGCGACAAAATTATGAGTTGTTTACTTGCTGTTGTAATGTCTCAAACATGTTGACGCTTTACAGGCACAGAACTCCACCCGCTAGCATCTAACATAAAAATATGATACTTAATATTTTAAAATGATAAATAGGATTTAATTGAAAAGAGTTATAATGGATGAGCTGCAATATGAATAAGAAGGAGATCACATCAAGCATCAGGGCTGTCTGTGCAGTGCTGATGGAGTAACTGGTGCAGTATGGTTTTTATATGGGTGTATAATTGTATCTGTATTTATATGATGAGTTTGGGCCTCCAGCACTAAGGACTCTAGCGAAGCTGTTCCTGCCTCATAACCAGTGATTCAGCGGATCAGTGTAATATTATAAATACAAAGACACACATACATAATAAACAACTCTATTGATGCAATTTAATTCTTTCATAATGAGAACATAATGGGAGTTAGTATTTTACATAGATCTTCAAGGGTCTGTTTGTGTTCATCACAGTACAACCTCACTTCACATCCTCTTGATTCTGTAAATGGTTGACTTAGTGGCTGTAGCAGCATGAACTAGATTGTTTTTGCTTGATTTTTTTCATGGAAATCCCTGATGTGACCTGATAGGCTGTAGATGAGTTAGTGTGGTATGACCTAAAAATAAACTTAAAGGGTAATTCTACAATATTGTTAATATTTTTGTGATGTAAACAAAGTCATTTAGAGCGCTTTGATGTAAAATGGCATGCTGAAGAAAAACCTACCTCTTTACAGTGGTGGTGATGGGAACCAGGAGTTCTTATGTCTACAACTACTGAAAAAAACTAAAAAATTAAGTAACCCCTTTTTAGTAGGTCAACTTTAAATGAAGCAATTTGTAAATGAAATGGTTTTGTGGACAGTTTTGCATGTTTAGTTTACAAATGCCTTTGATTAGAAAGCTGCTACAAACATCTCACATCCTTAAGACTTGTGATGCATCATCAATCTTGTTTAGTTTACTTATCAAAATTTCAATGTCAGTAATTTTTCATTCTTTACCAGACACTTTTCTTCATTTTGATCAAGATTAATTATGTCTATACACTGACTGTCTACTTCAATCAGTGTATAGACATAATTAGTACACATCATTTTCCATTTTATCAGCTCCACCAGCTAGTTCCTCTCTGTAGTTCTACAATTACAGTCTGTAGTCCATCTGTTGCTCTACATACTTTGTTAGCCGACTTTTACCCTGTTCTTCAATGGTTAGGACCACCACAGGACCCACAATAGAGCAGGTTTTATTTGGGGGGGGATCATTCTCAGCACTGCAGTGAACCTGACATGGTGGTGGTGTGTTTGTGTGTGTTGTGATGGTTCGAGTGGATCAGAGACAGCAGTGCTGTGTTTTTAGACACTTTGCCACTCACAGTCCACTCTATTACACCTACCTAGTTGATCCACCTCGTCATCTGTAACTGCACAGTTTGTGTTGGTCATCCTCTGGTCCTGCATCAGCGGTCACAGGACACTGTTGGTGGACTATTCTCAGTTTACACACTGTGTAGATAAAAGGAGGTGTACTTAATAAGGTCAGTGTATATAAAGAAAGGAAAGAAAAGAAAAGAAAATCTCACTGCAGAAAAAGGAGAGTAACATCCCAACAAGTAATAAAGTAACTAAACTATGAGAGCTCAGTGTGTTCAGTTTCTGTGAGCTTAAGCACACACACTGCTGCCATCCAGTGTCCAAATGATGTCATTACACCTACAATCATTCTAATGACATTGATGTTTTATATTTGTCTAACTGGAAAAAACAGTCATTAGATTCTCTCTTCATGATCCACAGACCTCTGACATCTTAAGCAGCTGATGATTATCTCAGACCTACAGCCACATCCAAAACCATAAACCCCCAACATAAACAACACAACACTCACCATGAGTTCAGTGGACTGGACTTTCAGAGCTGAAGATGCAGGAGCTCTGGATCCTGGAGAAAAGCTGAGAGAGATGGACGTTCTGTTCTACATCTGTGGAGCAACAACAGAGCATTTAAATCAAGCAGGAGAAGCTGAGGAGACACTTTAATACAGCATGTTATTTCAGTCCTGATAGAGAACTGACTGTTTCTCAATGTTGATTTATTATAGATAAATAACACTCTGAACTTATTTAAACCTGCATGAAGAAAAAGCAGCTTTGTTAACTATTTATTTAGCAAAATCTCTTCCACACAATCATTTGTTCATTTGTTCTTCTAAATGTGCTTCATGTAAATAATAAATAGCTTTACTAACTGAATGAAGACTTTATTAGTAACTGTTCTGTATTCTGATATATCAGTAAGTATAAGTATTCTAATAAAGTCAGGTTAAGTTCTGTTTACTTAACATAAATGAACGACAAACACAGAATAATGACTGAATCTAGTTTGCTAACGTTAGCGAACAGCTAAAGTATCAAAATATTAATGAAACACTCCAGAGAACTTCCACTGAGGGTCTGATAGAACCGTTTACTGCAGAACAAGACATGAACTCCACTTCAGAACTGCTAATCAACATTTAGAGTTATTAACAGTGTCAGTCTTTGGAGAAGCTCACTGTGGAGTAATAAAACCTTCCTGCACAAACAGGCTGTCAATCACCTCATCAGCAATGCCTTATAATAATAACAATAATAATAACAATAAAACGGATCTGCATAATATTAATAACATTCTAACTCAACATATAATAAATAAACAACATTTATATTTAAAATATATCTTTTTTACTGTAAGGTCTGCTGTCAGTGTCTAATTTGATTTCAGTGTTAATTAACAGGATATGTAGACGTTGTGATTCAGAGTAAAAACATAATTTGTGATCAATGGTTGAATTATGAATTATACATTCTGTATGTTTTGGCTACATAAAGCCAAATAAAAACATTCTGTAACCCACGTTTACATTAATCTTTAAAGCAGCAGGTTTTCATGCCTAATTAGGAGGTTTTAGCGACTGAAGCTCCAGCTGAGCTAATGCTAAAGCTAATGCTGGAGCTAGTCAGAGCACTGTTGGATGCTGAGGAGAACTCGGCGTCTTTTACACATTACATTAATATTGATGTTTATACAGAATATTTTAATCACAAATGTGAGGCTGTACAGTCCTGTTTAATCTGACTGACCTGTCAAACTGTCAGCAGCCAAATTAAGAAAAGCTAACTAGCTTAGCTAACTGATCTCAACCTTTGTACATCTGTAATGTTCTTTATCATTGGTCAATATATCAAATGATTTTTATCAAGTACAGTTACTTGATAAACTAGTCTGTTACTAGTTCTGACACTGAGCTGTGAGTTTGCTCTTCCACAGAGTTTAATCCAGAACTTTTTCAGTTTTAGGAATGAAATAAAAACAGCAGCAGCTCCAGATGATCAGGACAACGTGTGTCAGACATTATAGGTGTCGTGTACTAAGAACAAAACTAATAAAAGAAAAAGGGGTTTGTTGTGAAGAAAATATAACCAGTAGACTCTGTAAAAGCTCTTAACCTTTATTTCCAGATCAGAAATCTGATTTGTTCAGCTCTCTCATTCTCTCTCTCAGCCTCTTTATCTTTCTACCGCCAGAAAGAACAAATAGACCCTCCTTTACCGACACAATAGCGCCCCCTTCTGATTTTTCTTACAACGACTCCTTCAGGTCAAATTCACTTCTTCTTAATATTTAACTATAATACACCACTGAACGATTCTCAGTCACTCATTTACACCATTTCTTAGGTTAATAATTCAGATTTTTTCCTGAGGAGTTCTTCCTTCACCTGAGGAAGGAAAGTTTAGAGATGACTGTGATTGGCTGAAAGGCGTCAATCATGACTTGGTAAAGTCAACTGGGAAAAGACGCTGCACTGTATATGCAGCTCATGTTCCACAGACAATGTAGATAAAACATTTAATTTTTGTTAAAGTAGTATAACATTTTTTTCTCATTTAAATTCTCAGTCACTTCTTTACATCCATGTATGACATCATCATGGTTATTTTCATAGTGTTAAGGTGACGTCACGCAGTCGTGCTGCCACCATTTTGTAAAAGCATGTGTTCTGTCCCCTGACTCCCCTGTCACACTGTTTTATATTTATGCAGTATATATACTGACATTACTGTAAATAAATAAAGGCAACTTCAAGCTCATTCGTCAGCATAGTGGCAGTTTGTTATGAGATAATAAAGCCATAACTGACCCTATTAGGCAGCTGGGATTACTGAGTTTAAAGCTTTTAAAGCTTCTGCTGCGTCCCAAACTGCACACAAGCTCACTAAATAGTGTGTAAAAACAGTGCAGCCCCTTTAA